GAAACTTGGCAGAGCTTGCTGGTTTCAGGACTGGTTTTGGCGGATGGAGAAGCTTATTGAATGTGGTGGAAATTACTTTGAACGAAGTCAATGAATCAAGCTGTATTGCAAAACTTTTATAGTACCCTTTGTATTGACCTGTTTGACTGACTTTTTTCTTATAGGGATCTAGTTTGTCCTGAACATAATCAATTATGCCGTTCTGTGAGAAATGCAGAGTCAACCTACTTGAAGTCATTTTTTTGTTGAACACATGTTCTTAGCTAATTTTTTTCTCAGAAAGGCTAACTAGTGCCAAAAATAATAGCTTTTTGTAGCAAATGGACCGTTACAGTAAATGGGCCGTCAAAGGTCTCATTTTTACAGGTGTATACATAAAAAAGTGCTGAAGGGGCTTACGGGCAGATCCAAAATTTGTATCTGCGTCTGAAAACTGAAGAGTAAGGAGGAGGGCTTAGCGGCGTCTGCTGCATCAGTGCTCTTAAGACTGAATGCCCGTCTGATAATTTAAAAGTGGGATGGGGGAGAAAAGGTATATCATGCTGTATTTATTATACAGGGTGACCAATAAGTACCACGACAAACTTAAGGAGAAGGTAGGCTTTGGACCAAATAACAAAAACTTAGCTATATAAAAGTGTTACCGTTTTTCTATAAAATACTTCTAGATAGTTGCTTTATGATATACAAATACAATGTAGTTAAAATATCTTTTAATATCTTAAGGAACCATGATAAAACAAGAACTGTCTTGGGATTTATAACCTTCTGATATTGTTTCCTCAACTTTCATAAAATCATATCAGGACCATGTAATAATGATGTAGCTTTGTACTATTTAGCATGTCACTGATCTGTAACCAGTGCAACTAGAATTTAAATCCAATAATTATTACATTGTAGTGTAACATATGTCAGTCACTTACAAAAGCAGCTATCACTTTTTTCAATTCCAAATACTACGTGTGGTGCCTTTCTGAAATCTGTATTCAATGAGCAATCTTTTTATTCAATATAATGCAGTTATACCCAAGTACATTTTTGTTTCACCACAGATGGTCATAATTGAGGAAAAAATATCAGAAGGTTATATATCCCAAAATAATCCTTATTTGATCATGGCTCCTTAATATCTTTTAACTACAAAGGTTCGTTTTTTAAAATTGAGAGGTCAGTCCAAAGCCTACCTTCTCCTTAAGTTTGTCGTGGTACTTATACCCTGTATACGGAAAAACATAGTAGGCCATGGGAATCTGGGAGGAGGGCTTAAGCCTCAAAGCAGAATCGATTTTTGGCTGGGTATCTTGTTCTAGGTAGATGACATCTCTCGCGGAGCATAGCCTTGCGTGAGCACGAAAAAAGATAAACGTTGTATATCGGATTCTTACAAATCTTTCATGGCGCCGTATATCTGCTTCGTAGCTGAGCTGATCTCAGACGAACAGGTTGCAAATCCTGCTCACCACATATCGGACTTGCTGGATAATCCGCGTGTCTATGTTGTCTCTATTAAGTTTTTGAATTCAGATTTCATGCTGAATTGATTCAAGGAATCTCCGAACAATAACTTAATGTTTCTGCAGCAATATTTTCATATCCAACCCTGCCGTTGGGCATCTTGAGCATTCCTTGATTTCAGTTTCAGTCTTTTTTTTTGTAAATCAAAGCTTGTTTAAGTCCATGGCCATGGACCGAGAAAACAATGTTACACTGTGACCACCAGTTCTTCCATTAAAAGGTTTCCGAGATATCGAACAATGTTGCCAGTCTGTAAAATCCTACAGGAGGAACATGCGAATTAACATAGAGAGAAGCGGTACAGCCGCTTTTATGTTGAATAGCAGTCGTCATGGAATAGAGTTTTGCCCGTTTGACAGCAGTTTTCGCTTTGATGTCAGATTTGATAGTTTGTTGATTAATTGTTTCGAACTGTCAAATCTATTCAACATAACCATTTTACGTCGACTGAATGCGCACATTCCTTCAAAACATAACTGGGCAACTAAACACAAAGGGACTCCATTGTGATGTAATTACTGGTATATAGTTGTAGACACCGTTCTTCGCGGGTCAAAGTAAGACTACCAGTATCCCTTTATATATCTCCATCTCACTCATACATACACATGCAACCTACCCTGTTTGAGAACGTTGAATCGATAAGCTCAAATACGTACGTTTTTGAATTGTGTGTCTCGGTCTCGAAGACTTTGTCGTTACGTCTGAGTGCCCTTCAATCATCTTTTTCAGAGTGACAACTAAATTAATTAAAGTATTTCCAGGAAGAGAATGAAAACAGCGGTTCTCTGTTACTCACTTCATGGGTATCTACTGAAGAGACTAGCAGATGCGCTGAAGATTAGTCTGAGCAGTGTTTAGCGAATAAAATCAGAAAATAAGAAAGGTTTGCCTATAGTAACACCTGGGGAAACTCACAAAATCAAAAGATGCAAGACGGATGATGTAATAAGTGATGCCATCAAAACAGAACTTATGAGTACTTTCTACGATATGAAAAATGAAGGACGACATATCACAACCTCTGGCTCAAGATTCGCCCATATGGTACGCGGACTCGATCTGTTTACTTATAAATCATATGGCGTTGATGACGTAACCGCCAAGAACGGTGACTACAAAAGTAGGTAATAGCAGCCTTTTGAGGCGTTCTCGTTCTAAATTCACTTTCACTTCACACAATATATAATAGTTTCATGAATTCGTTTGAAACTATGTTCTTCAAATTTTCCCATTCCCTTACACACCTGTAATCCAAGGTCTGTTTTTCTGTAGAGGTAGGTACACATACATAGTGAAGGTGATCCAGCGAATTCGCTAGAGGCTGGGCGCTCGCAAGGTCGAGGAGGGGCCGTGGACTCCCCCTGGAAATGCGGTTGGACTTTAAAATTAGCCCATTATTAGCATGAGTTTTTGTACCATTTTTATGATTTTTAGGATTTGGTCCCTCTGGGAAAATTTGCTACCCCTGCTACCTAAAATATTTTGGAGGCTTTCACAAAAAGTTGTATCTTGCGAATAATATCCCCCCCCTCCTGAGAATAATTCATGTGGGCGCGCGCTTGGGGGCTAAAAAGAGCAGACTTGGAGATAGTCACAAGAGCTGGTCGCAAAGGAACATTATCCATTTTTTCTACGTATACTGCGTAAGGCTGGAACGTAAGAGTAAATAATAGCACTGCAAAGTGGCTAAAGTTGTCCCCGAGTCACATGGGTCATCTCAATAAAACAAGCATAGGTATCTTCCAACACTTTAAACAACGTTCATGAGATACCCAGGTATCTTTGCCGACTAATATCAACGTAGAATTGTTTACTTCCTTATAAAGGTTTAAAAGCAGCTGTATATACTAAGACTAATTGATATCGACCCAGTTTTTGAAGAACATGGATGTCAAAATCTATGCTATCCCTATTTTCAATTAAATCCATTTGCATCTAGTCCGTCCCTGTCTCCGCCTGACAGACCTCGTGCTGCCACCTATTGCTCAACATTATGAGTATTAGATAAGTATGCTTTAAGAATAGAACGATAGATGACCCTCCTGAGTTTATTGTGGTGGCATCTGTCGTGAAGGTATGGAAACTTTATCAGAGTCTATTAAATTAGACAATAAAGGCCTATTCATACTCAGCCGTGACGTGACAGTGCTGTGTCCGGCACGTAATCCGCCCGGCGAAACTAAAAAAATTCCTCCTGGAATTTGGATGAACTGATTCACACTAGACCGGCACGTGGAACAGGCCGTGTTCTTAGTACGCTCGACGACGCCGTACCGTGATCATCGCATTGTTTTGAAACATTATTTTTCGATTTTGATAGCCGTGTTTTTATGTAATTTCGTGAATATTTTAAAACTAAAATGAGGTTTGTTGAATATGTGAAGAGTCTGTCCCAAAAAACGTATCTCAGGTTACGTACTCTTATAACAAATCGGTATTTACTGAAGTTTGAACTTCGAAAAAATCTAAGCGAGGGCTTAGTCTTATCTGTTTTAAATTAATGTGATATTGTCTATTCTCCGTCATTAGATTGCTTTACAAAAACATTATCCAAAGGTAGTCAAAATAATTGTGTACACTTCATTTTTGGATTACGAAAATTTGACCATGTTTCAGTCAATTACCAAATATTGAAGTGGATGAAATTTGAGAATTTAGTAATTTATCACTATTTGATTTTCATACATAAATTGTTGCATACGGCAAAGCCTTTATACCTAACAGAAAAGATTGTTTTCAGTAAGGATGTACACACTAGACCGTTAAGACACAAGATTATAAGAGTTCCTCAGCACAAAAGAACATTATTTGAGCGAAGTTTTTCATATAATTTAGCTATCAGGTATAATCCAATACCTACCTGAAGTGTATGAATCATATTCTTTATCTAGATTCCGCAACAAAATTAAACTATTTATATATTCACTATCCACTCAATCTTATCATTTCTATATTTTATGATGCACTGTAATTCTTGATTTACACATTTTCTGACCTTGTTCTTATCTGTTTTTTTTTTTTCCTTAAGATGTACATAAATTTCTGTATTGTATTACCAATCGCTAACTGATGGGTTAAGTGTAAGAGTAGCGAATGCTAAACTTCGGCAGTCAATTAGTGTATTTCCAAATAAAGACAACTATTATTATTATTATTTTTATTATTATTGTATATTTGGTCAAAAACATGATGATAAAAAACGAATTGAATTTGTGCTGTACAACCGGTCAAATTCAAAATACTAGGCATCCGTTTTATCCTCGTTTCTTCTTCTTCTTCATCCAGAATCTCTGCAATAATTGCAAGTTCATCCTCTGAAAATTTTACCATTTCGACCTCATGTGAATACAACTGCACTGTCAAGAGCACGGAAAAAATACTGGCCGGTGTGAATTGAAAACACTGTGAGCTCACGTCAGCCAGAATCACCGGCACGTCACGGCACTGTCACGTCACGGCGGAGTGTGAATAGACTTTAACACTACTTAGCTGTCAGCTAAAGAAAACTGTAATGTTTTGAAGCGCTATCTAGTGACGATTTTTCTAAGCACGACAAAAATGAAATTTTCGCTCCCTTTGACAGATGTGACTTGACAGATGTATGGCATTTGTACATTACAAAAAAGTTTATTTTGAAGGAATGGTCGTATTTTAGTTAAATTTTAACTGAGATTTGTTGGTAATTATGAAAGAAATTCGTAAAATAAATCAAGTTGTTGCTACAGAATGCGCCGAGACTGGCGAGGACTACCTGAAAGCCATGCTAGGCGATTTCGATAGGTAAGCATTTTACCTGTTGCACTAAACTGTTGCTTCAGATGAGATTCCCAGGCAAAATCTGCTGGTATCTGAATCACCCCCAGTGCGAATGCGGGCTGTTTCAAAAGGATCCCGCATGCTACAATCTGTTTTACCCCCTTTTAGTTGATTATAATAAATTGAACGTTGTAGGGAAACTACTATCAGTTTTGATGAGGCGTTGGTTTTAAAGTAGCATTTCGTTAGAGCAGTGATCACGTTGATGTGTGAAAGTGTTAAAGTTCAGTTGATGTATGTTTACAGGTTACATAGTTTCTAAACTTATATAAAAAAAGCTTCAATAAAAGCTTTTCCTATTCTTTCTTAACCCCCATTAGCACACTGGGCTCCGGCTTGATGACATAATCTAAATATAAATAGCCACAAAATCAGAAGAAATTTCAAAAAATATCTCTGATCTTCCTCAATGATAAAGTAAGACCCCAGATTTTGCTTTGGCTCAGAGCTTATTCAATCTGCAGGCCCTGATCTTCCTGTGTACTCAGTGCCCTTTCATAGCTTAAGATAGCATTGAGCCTTGTAGAACATAATTTTAGATTTCAACTCTTTATCATTTTTATTTCAGTGAGCCAGGCTACTACAAACAAGTAATCAAGCCAATGCTAATAGCAGGACATGAGAATGAAATTGTTTATTGGTTAAAAGATCTTGGTCTCATCAAGAATGAGTTTTTCTGTCCGAAAGCTGAATCAGGTAGTGTAATTTGATGTCTAGATGTAAAGTAGTAGAGAGAAAAATGTTTACGATAGGGTGAATGTCACACAATCAGTATTTACTTTTATCTGAAAGTATTTATTATAGATCAACACTGACATAGTGGTTGGTAAATATGGGTGATACAGGCCACAGTAAATACTGATTGTGAGATACTTGCCTAAGAAAAAGCTTATTGATAGAAAAATTCTAGAACAGTCATTATAATAAGAATGCTCGTTTGTGATCATTCTTTATTTTGATGATTGTAGGAACTTGTATGAAGATGATGTCTTGGTCACAAGCAAGAAATAATGACATGTATCAGTGGAAATGCAATGGTTGTGATGGGAAAAGATCCATAAGAGAAGACTCAATATTCCTTAATGTCAAGTGTAGTTTCAAGAATGCCATTAGGATCTTACTTGGTTGGTCTAAAGGCAATGATATAGATTCTATGGCACTCATGTTGGGTAAGTTTGCAAGCAGCAGGAAAAAATTTATGGAAAACCACAAACAGGCGCCCAAATTATCTACTACCATACCAATATCAATCTGAAAAGTAAATTTTAACAAAGTCCTTATTTCACAATGCCTCATTGTAAGGAAATGTTTGGTGAGTATTTTGACTATCTACATAATGTTTATAAACTGACTATGATTTTATACCTCATTTATTATTTTTAGCTTAGTAATAGTAGTAGTGGTGGGGAGGTGATGTCTGATAGCTAGGCTACCTTTGATCATGTTTGCTACATTATACCAACACTGGGCCCCCATGCTTACCTATTGAGAACTGATTATTGAATAAACCAACTTTTGTTATGTGGTCTATAGGTCACTTGACAGTTTTTGAGGGTTGAACAAATGAATCTTGAAGTTAGAGGCATTCCGGCCACCATAAGGAGCCAGTACATAGGCCGCTTAAGGGGGCCCTTATGCACCTCTACATTCCTTAGATCACAAGCCTCGCCCTGTTAGCGAAGTTGAGAATCGCCTTAAGTCCAAGCTCCTTGATTATAGTCTTTAATCACTGCTATGTTTAGAAAAGGTACACTCAAATTGCTCATTCATGACAAACAAGTTGTTGTCACACAGACAGTGACAAGCATGAATGTGAATGAGAGAATTTTCAAGGTGGTGAGACAAGACTAAAAAAAAAAAATTACCTACCAAAAATCGTGAAAAGACCTTATATTTTGATCTAGCATGGATCTGGTGCATATTATTGTTATACTTAAGCTATTTTTAATATAGGTATTAAGAGGCCAGTGGTGTCTATGCTATACAAGAAAGCTGGTCTGGTAGCCCAGAAATACATCACTTATAATACATCAGAATGGGCTGTGGGAGGAGCAGGCAAAATTGTTTTGGTTGATAGCTACCCTGAAATGTGTCTAGGTGCAACTGAAACTAGAGAACCTAAGCCAATTTTGTGTATTGCAGAAGTTAAGGTGAGTAATTTATAAACATCTTATATTTTGTACACATTACATTCTTTAAAAATGATTCATAATTTTATGTTTCTCCATAATGTAAGACATTTTTTGTAAGAATTTTTCACATTATTTTAGTGTTCCATACGAGTCCAAAAAATTAATCAAATGTCACATGAGAAGTTGTACATTTTAACTTTTTTCAAATTATGCTACGCATATGGGTGCTTGAATCCCTGTTTGATTGATTGCTGATTGCTGTGTTTGTTCCAGAGTTTCCCTCAAAAATATTGGTTTGAGCTGTTGCAACCATATCGGCGTACAAACCAAGAGCATCTGCAGTTAGTGAAGAAACAGATTCTCTCATCTGTTAAAAAGATTGTTGCACCAGGCTCTATACTGATTGTCCCATCTAGTTCTATCCTCTGCACAAATGAAGATTTTCTGGAGCTAAAGTATCTTTACCCACTCATTATTAGCACTGGTAAGTAGCACTTGGAATGTGAATATCTACATTAAACATCATTTCATACAAAAAGTATGGCGTGAATATAATTGAACCAAATATCCAAGTCATACCATTTTACTAAAGGTGCATTTCCAATATAACTGGGACAATGTACCACAACATGATTCAGGCTGTCAGCCTGTTACTTTGATATATCCACCGCGTAACTCACAAACTTTTTAGGAGATCAAATGGAATGGTGAGTCTTTGGCAACTAGACAGTTCACTGCAATAGCAAATGGCATCATGGAATCACTGTGTTAACGTTTGAATGTACGTGAGCTGCGCATTCACTTGTAAACTGTAAGGCTACCATGGCCTGCAAGCTATATCCTGCCTTATAGGCTTTGGTAGTTAGCTCCCTGCGATTTCATCGCGGTATTTTGCTCAGTATACCCGTAATCTCGTTATTCGAAAGTTGTATTGTATTGTAGAGACAGTAAATCATATTTATTTATCTAATCCTTCATATATGTCATGCTGCTAAATGAAACCACATATGCTGGAAATACTGTTTACTGATGACATTCTGTCCACTACGATGGTCTTTTTCAAGTACATGCATATCTTCATTTTTTATGTGCAAACTGAAATGTTCCTGGTGCAAGTTCACATCACATGTTATGACACTTGAGTGCTCTAGTAACTTGGTGCATTTTTGTCCCTGGCACTTGTTCCACCATATGTTACAGACCATTTCCATTTCTACCCATGGCGCATACAAATTCTGTAAATTAAGTGATGAGACTGATTTGTTTTAATTTTTTATTCAAATATAGTTACAATTTTATATTGCCACCCTCAAAATAACTTTCTTCTGAAGCCACGCAGCCCTGGAAACGGTTCTTTCACCCCTCATAGCAGTGCTGAAACACTGATACTGGAATAGCCTTCAGCTGGTCGGTCACAGCTGTTAGAATGTTTGACTGTCAAAAAATGAGTTGTTCCCTTGAGGTGATTTTTCAATATCGGGAAGAGAAAAAAGTCACAAGGACTCAAATCAGGCAAGTAAGGAGTCTCAGGAGCCACAGGAATGTTTTTACTATCCAAAAACTCGTTTATTGAAATTCCTGTGTGACAAGGAGCATCATCGTGATGCAACATCGAGTTGTTCTTGATCTGACAAACTGTGGTCTGAGTCAAATTTAACTCTTCCCTTATCATTCGGACGATATGAACGCACAAAATTCCGGATTCGGTGGAATTTTCATCGGTGCTTGAAGATGAACGCCTTCCACTTAGTGGTTCTTCTTCAATCGACTTTTTCCCTTCTGAAAAACCACCGAAAAACCTAGGCTCTTGATAAAACACTATCTCCGCAGGCCTGCTAAAGCTTAGCAAGAGTTTCTGTTGCACTGTGCCCAAGTCTGAAGCAAAGGAGCTAAATGATTCGAGCGAGTTCAAACTTGTAATGAAGGCGGATCACATGTTTCCTTGTATCCCCTCCCAGCCCGGCGCTTTTAGTGTTGCCGTATCGAACGCTACGTTGCCAGTCTCATCACTCAATTTACACACCTCGTATTGTGGCATATGTAGCAGTGCAAATTTGTTGTAATGGAAATGTATCTTGGGCATACCAAAATTTATCAATTCATTCCAGCATTTGTCTCTGAGTCTTTTCTTGTTTTCATTGCTGGTATATAATTTCCACTTGATGAGTCTATAAACTGACACTTATGATACAAATAATAAGTTGTTCTTGCATGTATGTCATCAATTGTGATGCCAGAGTGTTCTTCTATGAAATGACATAACTGGTGACCTGTAGAACGAAAGAGTCGGAATGCAAAAAATCTATATATAATTAGTCATTGTAATTGTTGCAGATGATCTTGCAAGACATGATGATGGAAACAGAACAATTGCTGGTATCCTGGACATCATTTGGAGGGAAGCAGTGGACATTTGTGAAGAAGCCCAAGCATATGGACATGAGCTCATATCTCAATACATCATTGGAAGAATTTGGAGACAGAGATATGGTAGCAATGCGTTTGAAATGCTCGTGTATCAGTTGGGACTTTGAGAAATTGAGAGAGAGAGAAATGTTGAATAGTGGAAGTCCTTCTATGTATTCATTGCAAAAGTTGATAACATATTGGAGGTGAGCGTTTCATAATGGAAATCAAGACTTTTGTATCTTTATATCCCATTTTTGTTATTTGCCTCATTGTCTCAAAAGAACAGCTTTCATTTTCATTTTGATTCTGCTGATATTTTTAAAATATGTATTAATAAATTAAGAGCATTATTGTATTTATAAGCAATACTTTGGTGCTAAGTGCCTTAAAAGTTGTGAATTAGACACATAGAATAGTTTTTTGACTCTTGGCTTTGTTATTATTGACCTGTAGATATTACTTTTACTCATATGCACATTACTCACCATGTTTATGCTATTTTTGTTGATTTACCTTTGTCTTGATATGTTACATTTCTTTTTGTATTTTCTCAAAAGTGCCTTTTGAGTTGGATCCATAAGTGCCTTATTGTTGTATATACTATCGAGTTAAGTTTAATAAAAGTACATATATCAGAAAAACTACAAAATGTGGTTCATTCTCTGTAGGTGTAGTGTTTCCATATCTCTTCATGTCTGCGTTACAGGTTGAACAATTTTAGCCGGCGGATTTGATCATTCAGTTACCAAAAATTCTGTATCAGGATCACAGAAATGACAATACGTGACTTCGTGATTGCATTTTCTGTCCATTTTGTATCAGCGGCAAAATTACGATATGTATAGCGCCTCGCGTTTCTGCGACCCTGATAGCAAATTTTTATTCAAAGGTTTGGTATTTAAATACTAAAAAGTTTGTATCACGATCGCAGAAAAGGCGAAATGTAACCGCACGGAAACGTTTTCCGCCAATTTTATATCGAGCAACTGATATAAAACTGGCGCTGTAACACTTTCATACCTTCTCGCGTTTCTGTGTCCCTAATAGCAAAACGTTATCCATCAATTTCATGCTTTTGCAGAGAAACTGTAGTCAGATGCGCATTAGTCATTCATTTGGATTTGGTACCTCTGCAGAAAAATTCTAGTCAGATCTGCCTTATTCATTTGCTAAGGATTATGAATGAGAAACGACAAGAAGTATTTTCTCTAAACTTGTATCGGCAGCAGGAGTGGCGCTTCCATACCTCCTCGCGATTCTATGTCCCTGATAGTAAAAATGTCTATCGATTTGGTGCTTTTTTCAGAGAAATTCTAATCAGATGCGCACTATTGTATATCAACACCAAGAGTAATAATTTTATACCTCCTCAGTTTTCTGTGTTCTTGATGGTATCAAAATTGCCCACTGATTTGGGGCCTCTGCAGAAAAATTCTAGTCAGATGTGTCTTATTCATTTGCTGAAGATTCTGTATTAGGGTCGCAAAAACGAAGAGAAGTATTTTCTCCAAGTGGCGCTTCCATACCTCCTCGCGTTTCAGTGTCCCTGATGGCAAAAATGTTCATCGATTTGGTGCTTTTGCAGAGAAATTCTAGTCGGATGCGCATTATTTTAACTTCTTAAAATTATGTATGAGGATCACAGAAACGGCCAGAAGTAACTGCACGAAAACATTTCCCGCCAATTATATATCAACAGCAGGAGTAATAGTTTGGCACCTCCTCGCGTTTCTGTGTTCCTGGTAGCAAACTTGCTCATTAATTTGGTGCCTCTGCAGAAAAATTCTAGTCAGATCTGTCTTATTCATTTTCTAAGGATTCTGTATCAGGATCGCAGACACGACGAGGAGTATTTTCTCCAATTTTATATCGGCAACAAGAGTGACGGTTCCATACCTCCTCGCGTTTCTATGTCCCTGATAGCAAAAATGTCCATCGATTTGGTGCTTTTTCAGAGAAATTCTAATCAGATGCGCATTATTCAACCTATGAAAATTATGTATCAGGATCACAGAAACGACGAGAAGTAACTGCACGACAGCATTTCCCGCCAATTGTATATCAACACCAAGAGTAATAGTTTTATACCTCCTCAGTTCTCTGTGTTCTTGATGGTATTAAAATTGCTCATTGATTTGGGGCCTTTGCAGAAAAATTCTAGTCAGATGTGCCTTATTCATTTGCTGAAGATTCTGTATCAGGAGTTATGTTGCCGTCATTTAGCACTTTATTAATTAATATAATAATTGCATTGTATTCCTTTTTACTAGCTCATCACTTTTGGTTTATATTAACGATTGTATCTTAATTATGAGTCAGTCATTCAATCTCAGTCACAGCGAACACACACACTGTAATTCCGGTTCGGTCCATGTAAACTATTGTTGGAATCAAATAAAGTTTTTTAAAAACGAAGTTTGAAGTTCCGACAACATAATTGGCGCAGCCAGTAGGATTCGAACCTACGCTCCCAAAGGGATTTTCGCCGATTAGCCCTTGAGTCCGAACTCTTAATTGGGAATCACGAACCTCCGTGACGAGCCGGTACGACTGAAGAAAGAAGAAAGAATTTGGACCACAAGTGCCCTTTGTCCTGTTGAAGTCGACGTCCACCTGAGGAACCTAGGCCAAGAACGGGATGAAGTACTGGACCTATCAGTAAGTGCTCATTGTATCCTTATTTTTTCATGAGTGACTCACCCCGACCTGTAAATCCTTTCGAAGGTGATAGTGCAGATCAAATCGCTAATCGCATAGCAAGCTTAGAATTAGGACGTAGAGAAATAAGACAAGCAAACGAAACTATAGAAAGAATAATGACGACCCCCAGTAGAAATAGTACCCCCCAGTTCGACATAAAATTACTCCAAATTGTCCCAGAATTTGATGGGAATCCCTGTAGACTATATAGATATTTAGAAATAAGTACAGATTTATTAAATAACTATTGGAACACTGACGATACAGTATGTGTCCAAAACAAAATACTGCTGCATGGCATTTTCTCGAAATTGACTGGTGCTGCAGAGCAAGTATTTTCTCTTAGCGGTTCCACAGACTGGCACAGCATAAAAAATTTGCTAATTGCTCATTTTGGTGATCAAAGAAACGAGAGTAGTCTTATTTCAGATATGACTGCCCTTAGACAAAATTCTAATGAAAGCTCTTTACAGTTTTATTCTAGAGTTGTAACCATGCTGAATCATTTGCATAACTATATAAATATTCATGAAACAGTTGATGCTATTAAAACAAGTAAAAAGGCACTGTATGATAGTCATGCATTGCATACACTTTTAGTAGGTTTAAAGGAGCCACAAAGTTCCATGATTCGGTCGATGAAACCTAAAAATTTGGCAGAAGCTCAAGCTTATATTCTAGAAGATAATAACATTAGATATTTACAAAAGGCTGGTGCACATTCAAATTTCAATAAGCCACCTCAGCCTGCCCTTCCATCCAAACCACATTTTCAAAATTTGTTTAAGCCTCAAATGCAGCCTATGAATCAATTTAGGCCTCAGCAAAATTTCAATTATCAGCCTCAATTCCCAAGAGGACCAGTTCCGATTCAACCTAGACAAAATCCTCTTCCACAAAAATTTCCAACAAACGCACAAGTTTTTGGCAATAGACCTAATGTTAATGTTTGGCGTAATCCGCCTAATCAAGGACCTTCCTACAGGCCTACTCCTATGAGTGGTGTTAGTAGCATCAATAGAAATAAGAATTCCCAAACTAATTATTTTAGGCCTTCTGGCCCAAGGAACTTTGCTTCTCAAGAATTACATAACGTTGAGAGTGATCCTTATGATCAAAATTTTGTAAACAACCCTTACGATGACTATTACTCGGAATATTGTCAGGATAGTGAAAATCAGTATGACTGTTCTGATCTATATTACGAAAACCCTGATGAGACACAAAATGATGTTTCTGAAACTGGTCAAAAGCCTGATGAAGAAAAACAAAATTTTCAGATGGCCGTGCCCATGATAGAGGAGACATAATATACTTAAACACGATTTATGACAAGACAGAATTACCTTATATTGAAATTAAAAATCCGCCTTTAAAGCTTCTTATTGATACTGGTGCAACGAAATCATTTTTAAATCCTGATCTTGCACAGTTGCATTTTCCAAAATGTATTTATAAAGAACCATTCGAAGTAACTTCAGTTTTTCAGCATTCGAAGAGAGACTATTGTGCTAAAATTCCTGCCTTCTCAGAACTCAATGTTAGTGAGCCTATAAAATTTCATTTGTTCAAATTTCACAAGTATTTTGATGGTCTGATTGGTTTAGATATTTTGAAACTTCTAAATTCGCATATTGACCTTAGAAATTCTATTTTGCATACCAAAAACGCCAAAATTCCAATCAAATTTCATGATTTGAAAAATCGTTTGTTATTTTTCATAGAAATTGAGCCCTACACGGCAGCCCAAGCCAAAATTCCTGTCGATACTTATAATGGAGAAATTTTGATTCCAAATTCCAAAATTAGAGATTGTGTAATCAAGGAAACGCTTACTCATGCTATAAACGGTTATGCCTTAGTTGACCTAGAAAACCCAAGTAACACTTATCAAGAAATTTCCTTGTATGAGCCTATTGTTTCATTTCCGTTCGATGCAAACAATTACGCTTTATTCCACGCTATCATTAAACCATCTGAATCAGCTTCGCCGTTGCGACGTGATATCAGTAACCTGATACGAACATCTCATCTCAATAATGAAGAAAAAACTCATATTCTAAAATTGTGTCAAACCTACTCAGACGTATTCTATTACGAGGGCGATGCGTTAACTTTCACAAACCAAATTAAGCATCATATTAGGACCACAGATGAAATTCCTGTTCATACAAAATCGTATCGTTATCCACACATGCTCAAAAACGAAATGCAAAGCCAAATTAGATCCCTTCTAGATCAGAATATTATTCGACATAGTAGCTCAGCTTGGAATTCTCCAGTTTTTCTCATTCCCAAAAAACCTGATGCTAGTGGTAAAAAGAAATGGCGTATGGTGGTTGACTATCGAAAGGTTAACGAAAAGACCATAGATGATCGCTACCCCATTCCATGTATTTCTGACATTTTAGACAAATTAGGTCGTTGTAATTATTTCACAACTTTGGATTTAGCTAGCGGTTTCCACCAAATTGAAATAGCCCCGGAAGATATTCAAAAAACAGCGTTTAGTGTTGATGGAGGTCATTACGAATACCTTCGTATGAGTTTTGGTCTTAAAGGAGCACCAAGCACATTTCAGCGAGTTATGGATAATGTCTTGCGAGGACTAGATAACACTATGGTGTATATGGATGACATCATAATTTATTCTACTTCTTTACAAGAACACATTGTATCATTGAAAAAGGTTTTCCAAAGATTAAGGGAGACAAACCTCAAAGTTCAATTAGACAAATCCGAATTTTTGAAAAAGGAAGCAGCCTTTCTTGGTCACATTGTCACATCGCAAGGAGTGAAACCAAACCCCGACAAAATTCAAGCCATTCTCAAATATCCATTGCCTAGAACCACCCGCGAAATTAAACAGTTTTTAGGTTTGATTGGTTATTATCGTAAGTTCATTAAGGACTTCGCAAAAATCACTCGCGCTTTCACCCTATGTTTGAAAAAAGGAGCAGAAATTAAACATGACGAAAAATTTCTCAAAGCTTTTGAACATTGTAAGAATCTTTTAACAAATGAACCATTATTACAATATCCGGATTTTGAAAAGCCCTTCGTATTGACTACCGATGCAAGTAATTTTGCTGTATCAGCTATACTTTCTCAAGGCCCTATTGGCTCTGACAAACCAATAGCTTATGCGTCTAGAACATTAAATGATTCTGAACAAAATTACAGTGCGACAGAAAAAGAATGTTTAGCAATAGTTTATGGAACTAAGTATTTTAGACATTATCTTTTTGGACGAAAATTTAAAATTGTAACGGATTGCAAACCGCTTCAGTGGTTAATGACTTTAAAAGAACCAAATTCTAGATTACAAAGATGGCGCTTAAAATTATCCGAATTTGAGTATGAAGTTATATACAAAAAAGGTAAAGAAAATAAAAATGCTGATGCACTTTCGCGTATTCAAATTCACGCTACCGAAATTGACCCACAACCTTCTACATCACAAATCCAAGATGAAGAAGAGTCCCCATTTATCCGATACATGAAAACCTTCAATAAAGACTTTTCCGAAAAACCTGCAGATGACCAAACGTCTATAGAAAATAATGTAGGTGATGAACAAACCGTACGCAATTTGCTAGACTTGAGTGAACGAGTTGAAAACGTAACTATTCACTC